AATTAAAAAGACACTGTGTTTCAAACCAATCCTTGGAAATTTGGGCCGGACCACATTTTTCGATTTGATACTTTAAACGATAGAATAAAATAAATAAATTGACTGTGGTTTAACCTTTTTAACTGGTGGCGAAAGTAAATAGTAAAGAAAATGTTTAAATTGCATACAATGCAGTTTGACAACTAAGGTAACCAATGCTTGTCAGTTAGGTTGGCGCAACACCTAACCAATGCTACTTATCTAAGAATAGTTTGAATTGCCATTATATTTTACTCAAAATTTCCAATTCTCTATCCGATGTGACATTGCGTGGCCAATAACAATTCAGGGATATGCAATTGTTAGCATTCTATATAATTATTTTTAATTTCTTCGGTGAATCTTTGTCCAATTATTTACTCCTAAGAAAAATTTAATAACGTACAATTAACAATTATTTTTGGTAATAAATCTCAAATTTTATTTCTTAACTACTCAAATGATTATATATAAGATGTTCGACATATATGGCTAGACATGTACATCTAATTTGTCATATCATTGTTTCATAAGTAAATTTTTATTTAATGATTTTGAATATCTTTCCCAAGCAGTAGTTTTCCTAGTGATAAGTTAAATTAGTTTCAAATAACTGGGAATTTCTTTTGCCATCAGTTTAGCTTCATAACAAAAAAATATAATCAATTTCCAACCAAAAATTTAATTCAGATTTTACTAAAATCCAAGACAAGCTCAAGTCATCCACCGTCAACTTATACAAACATCGACATCAAAGTATTCAATTCAACACACATCATGACAAAACCAAATAATCAATGATCATGTGAACTATTTAGCAGGATGTTTAGCCAACGAAGAAAGATACAGATGAGTGGGTAGTACTCTCCATCTCGTTTATGTACAACATAATATTCTTACAAGCAGGTACAACAGCCATGGTCGCAAAAAAAACAAGCTGAGTGCAAGTCTTTTTGAGTGTACCCCATTGGAGTTGTTTCCTTGAAACAGGATCAAGCAAGCGGAAAAGACGATGCTATTAAACTGTAATCCTCTCATCCTGAATTAAGCAAAAAGAATAATGCCATGGTATCTTCACTAAAATGAGAATCTAGAGAAAAGTGATCTAGGCGTAGATGCATCAGAATATGATGCTGCTGGACTGGAGATAACATCACCTGAGGAGCGGTATGGCTGCTGGCATTTCCTTATCTGTGAATAGATAACACGTAATAATGATAATAACAGAGATTAAGCATATGTTTCGTAAATTTATCAATTCGGTTCAGGAATAACATTATTTTTGTAAGGATTGGCATAATCACAAAACAACTAAGGAAATTTTATTTAGATAATTATATACTACATATAGCATGAATGAACATCCAAAGAAAATACAAAAATGATTTTCTACAACATCACAAATACTACAGTAGCAAGCGAAGGTTACCTCTTCAGGACTAAATTGTAATAATGTTGCAACCACTGGAAGTAAGGCTTCCACTTCACCTGTGAAAAATGACATGTTATGAAATCCCCATGGCCTTTCTTTCCTATACATTTCTAAATGAAAATGACATGGTTTGTCCAAGACGAAAAAGATTGAATGTTTTAGGTTGAGCTTTTCTTGTACCTGTTTCTAGCAGTTTTAATATAACATTTTTCAAATATGTCATGTCTATTCCTTCACGTTTGTGCGATCTTTCCATGTTCCGGAGCTCCTCCTTTAACATTGCTTCCTACAAGATATTGTGGAAAAGTAAAATGAATCTAAATCAGATAATTCTGTGTCTTAGGCATCATCATTGTTGGCAAATATACATGTCAGGGCCCACAGTCCAATAGACATACTAATCCAATAATTTGAATATAGCGAAACTTAAATCGCATGACCCAAAATACTTACGTTTCAGGTTATCAGTTAACTCAAAATGCTTGAAATTCTCAATGAAGTAATTCAATTTCTACAGTTACAAGGTAGGTCTAACCCGAGTACATCGACAAGGTTCTAAAACATGCTACCCACATTAGTCCCGTATGGGACCAATATTGTACCAGCAAACCAATCAGAACTGACCAGCATGGAATGAAAGAAAAAAAATAATGAAAAATGGAGGCAACGATGGACCACCAGAAAGAATAGAGAAAAGAAAATATGCAGGTCTTTCAATTCTGAACTTATTCTTCTTGATCATCCTCTTCTTACTCATTGATGCTTGTTGAGCTCGAGGAATGAAAATAGGCAAACTGCAATAGATGCTCTAGTCGATGCTTCAAGCAATTTATTCTTTTTTTTTCATCATTTAGTTTCTCAACCAGTGTAACGCTAAATTGGCCTAAACCGGCCCAAATCCAGAAATAACATGTTATGGGAACTGGTTCTTGATGGGGGTCGAGAAAATACCAGACTAAGCTGGTCATATCAATCCAGCATTGGACAAATATCTTCCCTGTAAGAGCAGTAAACCACAACACTACTACATTGTATCTTGTTATGCAACAAGTAAGCCATACATATTTTAGGCCAAACGAAGTAGTCCACAGAAATGCTGTGACACCGATTACCGCAACCCACATGTAAAGAACATACCTACCCAATAACAGACGGAACCACACGGCCCTAAATGCTTATGCCCAAGATCCTAATAGTGAGAATAACAAACCTACTATCTCAAAAAACATATCCTTATCATCCAAAATGGTTAGGACATTACAGATTATCACTCATAGGCACCAAAGAATTACTTGCCAGACAAGCGACAGCAAGGAATATATTTCAACTTTGCAATTAACTATGGCCTTAAGCAGTTTATATGAACCTGCTCAACTCAACAATGGTTGTTTCACATACCAAACCCATAATGGTTGCTAACCGAACCAGTACATATTGGCTGGTTACCAGTGTACTGACACATTGTACAATCAGTGTCTCAAAAAGCAAGAAGGAGAAAAGGAATGGGGTGGTGAAGAAAGAGGAGGACAAAACAAGGGGAAGGAAGAAGAGGAGACGATGGAGGAAGAGGAGAAAAAAAGAAGAGGAAGAAGATGAGCCGGTGGAGGAAGAGGACACCAAAGGAAGAGAAGAGGAAGCATAATTGCACATGGTAAGTAGTGGGCGGCAACACGAAGGGTTCTAGTTCGGGCGAAGAGGTGATGCAGAACCAACTTAGCTTTATCTTTTATTTGAATAAATTTGATTAATTCAGTGATATTTCGCATATGTCATAAGTTGCCATATTGCAACATGTAATCTATATGAAGAAAAAAGAATCAAATACTAAAAATTGGAAGAAATCCGATTTGGTGTTGATTGAAGATCTAAAAGATTCTTTATCAATAAAAAATATCATCAAAAGGGACAAATTACTTTTCAAATCAAGTCAATGAATATTAATTTTGAAGAAACAAATAATATATTTGATTTGATGCAATTGAATTTTTTATTTTTGTATTTTCCCTTTTGTTCTTGTACTTGGGGCCTATATAATAAGGCAAAAAGATTATAGTTCACAGTATCATAGGTTGGATCAGTAAAATGTCCTTTTCCTAAATTATATATGTATATATACATATGTAAATGGTGCGAGATCACATTTGTTTTTCCGATGGTATGATTCCATCATCCACATGTAAGATGTGCATTTGTATCATAGCTTCTGGTTTAGCCTAGATGTTTTATCATCAAGGTCAATCCATATCTTACTTATATGTACTCGGAGCGAGTTCTTGCACAGCCGAGGTGTCTGATGCAGAACCAATTTATTTTTATCTCATATTTGAATAAATACGATTAGTTCAAGGGAATTTCACATGTTTCGTAAGTTGCCACATGGCAACATGTATCGAATAAGAAAGAAAAAGAGGAAATACACAAAACTGAAAGAAACATGATCCAGTCTTAATTAAAGATCTAAAAGATTCATCGATGGAAGTTTACTAATCAAGAATATCATAAAAAGGAAGATGTTATATATTTGATTTGATGCAATTATAATTTTTTTTCCTTATTTTAGAATAGATTAGTAACTCGTGTGTAAGTGGTGCAAGACCACATTTTTTTTTTTGACGGCATGGTTCCATCGTTCAGATGTAAGACACATGGAGGTATGATGCCTTCATCCCATGAGTTTTGCTCCTTGAGCCAGAGTAAGTCCAGTAGTTATCCATATATTTTCTTATTATCTCTTCATTATTTTCTTGCTTTTCTCTTTTTCTATTCCTCTATTATCAAATAAAGAAATTCACAGCTACTCTCTTACATCATATTGTTATTAGTAGCCCTGGTCTCGATTCTTTTTGAATCAGTAAATGTTTCAATGGCTCCAAACCAAGCCAGAATTGGGGTGATTCGGTTTGGTTACAGTTAAAATTGGCTCAGTTTTTTTAAAAAAATCAACGATCAAAATTGATTGTGACAGACCATTTGGGCCTAATCCACTATTTGTTAGACTGGCATAGGCACCAAACGTTAGGGACAAGGGCAAATAACCAATCTGCCCCTTCCAACATCCCAATAAATACAAGTTGAACAGGCATTTTGGTCATTTCATAATAAAATTTAAAAAATAAAAAGACAAAATTGCCTCTTTCAATCGCTAAATAACATATAGTTAAAGAGGCATTTTGGGAAAGAAAATTGTCAAAAATTTATAAATACCTCCAATTCTCATTTTTCTTCACACCAAAGCCTTAAGCAATCTCTATACTCTCCCCCTAAGCTCTCTCTTATTGCAATCTCTTTTGCAATAGCATTCTCTACCCCTCCTAAGTTCTCACTAACTTGCTAATTTCAATGGCAAGTGGAAGTTTTCCAATTTCAGGAGGTGGATATAGGACATTTAGAAAGCATCTTGAAAAGAAACATCATACGTAAAGCTAATTTGGATAAAAGTCAAGTACCCAACAAACCCTTCTGTTCATTTTTCCCTGGAAAAAAGTCAAAGAATTAGCAAGATTTGTTTTCAACGAACACCTCTGTTTTTGTTTTGGTGAAAAATTAGATTTTGTGAATTATTATCAAAATACTTTAAATTCTGCTATAAGACGTGTTCCTCGATTCACTTACACACACTGTTATAAAAGAGGTAAAGAAAGATTTGCAAAACTTATTTCGATCTTTTGATGGACGTGTTTTAGTTTATTTTTATATTTAGAGTGATTATTAGCAAATGAACTCTTGCATAAGAATTACATATCATTGGATTGATAGTGATTAGAGCATGCAAAAGAGAGTAATTGCATTTAGAGTTTTGATGTACGAAATAATGTCGATAATATTTAAAGAATTATCAAAACTATTTTGGAAGAGTATAACTTGGTTTTAATTTTTTTTAAATTTCTTTGATAATGCATCTACAAATACTCCATCCTTGAGTTAGAGCAAGTTTGTCAATATTAGATATTCATGCCAGGTTTCAAGTTTATGTGTTCAAGAAAGACTTCTCATTAAACAAGAAATTGCACGTTTGTGCACTCGTCCACAAGCAACAAAAAAGTGAGCAAGATTTTACAAAATAAATAGCAAAAGAACCAAAAAGATTTCTTCGTGATGTTCCTATCCGATGAAATTCAACTCAACAACTACTTAATGAGTTTTGAATATAGAGAATTATTATATACTTTTATTACAAATAATGTAAAGCAATTAAATTTATATCCATAAAATTGGAATGCTTGTAAAATAATTTTAGATACTTTAAAGTTTTCAAGAATGCTACTTACACATTTATCTGGTGTTTATTATCCTACTCTCTATTTATTTTTAATTGAATATTATTGAAGCATTAGAATGATACCAAAAATAATAATTAATTGAATATGACTATTATGTGAATGGAAACTCAATAAATTAATTATTTTATAGATATTCCACATATTTACCTTGTTGCTTCTACTTATATTCTCATTGTCGAACAGATGGTTTGCATAATTATTTTAGTATAATTATTTTTATTTAGATGTTAACATTAGTGAAAAATTGAGGAAAGTTAAAAATGGTCATTAACTTACATGACCATTATGGTTTGACTTACTATCACGGCCTTAGCTGGAATTGCCTAAGGCGTGATGCACCCTTGAGGCCAAGACGCGAACTTAGCTTGCGTTGCCTAAGTCGCGCTTCGCCCTTGCGATATTGCTCCGCAAAGATCAGCCCACTTGTAACCTCTCGCAGGTCCCGAAGGACCTGTAAAAGAGAAAGTTGATTAGTTCGAAAGAACGAGCAACGGACAAGTCCCGAAGTCTCGTGAAAAGGGGAAGCTTTACAAGCAATTCAGCGAGCACCTTGCGTGCACAAGAGAAAAGAGGGGGAGGGGGAAAACAAGGGCTTTAGAAGGTTGAACGAACAGCTGCAAGCCCACAAACAGCTGCTCAACGAGTCCCGGGCGCGACAACAAGTTCCCGTCAAGGCAACGTGCGAACTTGCGAAAGAGTGTTCAACGCCCGGTACTATACCGAAGCCCCATCCAGCCCTGTGCCACCCGGGGGGTTCAAAGGGGCTGAGATGGCTGACGTTTTGGTGAGCGGAGGTAGATTCCAGAAATCAGCCCGCGGCACGCGAAAACGGAGCTGTTTTGGGGCTATTTTGCTCGGTTCGGTGAGCGGTCGCTTTGTAACGCTGCAGCTTGTTCGAACTTATATTTTTACAAGCAAAATGACCCAAAACCAAGAGAAAACATGCTGTCAAGCAGTTGTACATGTAGGTGTGAGCGATGAACGGTTCGTTGAACGGAGTTGTTGC